TGCTTTCGATAATCAAGACTATTTAAAAGTCTTTGATCGAAAATGGCGTAAACGCCTGCATAAGTCACAATCTGAAAAGATAGCATGTTTCCATCGTCTAAAGGCACGGAAGTTAAAACTTACCCGCCTACAGAATTTATCCCGAGCTTTGATACTCACCCTCCATATGTGCTTAAGACACTGAAGCGTAAGAAAAGTCCAGTTGACCACCACGGACCTACTGGGCCTAAGCCCAAAACTCACAGGGTAACCGTGAACGCTTAAGTTCTTCGCCTGAGAAACATTAACTATATGTTATGCTACTTAATGTTTCGACCCGTTTTCCTGTTACTCGCTTTTTGGCCCAAAATCAGCTTGAGTGAGCAACTAGCCTCTCTTGGGTCTCAAAGCTGGGTGGGGGCTGTGTAATAGCCGGGCCTCCACATTAGACTCTATGTTATAAACGTACTCTTAAGCAGTACGTAAAAAATAAACGTACTCTTAATAGTACGAGGAACTTAAGTTTCCTAAATGGGTTTTAACGGTTTTATTAATTATTACCTTTTCCATTTTATATATCAGATATTTGTGTAAGGCCATTAAAAGGCCCCAGTAAAATACCAAACATAAGATTTGGTCTAGTTCTATTAACAGAACTATATTTACCTTCCAAATCTATTTATATCTTAATACTTCGGTAACGAGATGGCTCAACCGAACATATGTTTCTAGGGACTATTAGCGTTACCTAGTTTAACCTCCGATCAGCCAACCAGATGTGCCAGTCTGATGAAGTCTAAGTCGGTAATTTTTGATAAATGGAAAATTATTTGTTAAGATAATAACAAAAGACATCAAGAGTATTTTCTTTTTCTTTTTACTATTTTTTTCTTCTAAAGATAGGATTTTATGAGTCTCTCGGATTCGCCCCAACGAAACATACCATAATTTCTCATAAAGCGACAACGAAACACTAAATAAAATTCCTTCGGCGAAAACAGTACTGAGAGGATTATATATAGGCAATGTCTCAGCCTCACAATCCCTCAGAGTATTGCTGTTTTCACGAGGCATACCTAACTTTACTAAAAGTCTCATTTCGATTTACTTTGAAATTTGCACGATACAGAATTTACCTACGCGTTTATTTGTTCTAAGGCGTTAATATCGCCTTGATAGACCGAATCTTACAAAACCAATAGGTGCGATGACTTGGTTTGGACCAAAATTTGAAAGTAGTGCTTTAACAGCGTGATTAACTGGGGTATGGGAAACATCTGCTGATGTGTTAGAGATGGATGTGGGTACGGGGTTGCTCTACATGCTGGAGAAAGAATCCAAGGTTTTCATGGAGGGTACAGATACCGTGGACGCTCTCGCAATTACTGAAGGAGGTCAGGGCCAATGGGAGACCGTTTTGGGCCTACTAGGATGCGTCGGATTAGTTGCTGGATGCAGGTAAAGTGGCTGGGGGCGAATTTGTATCCACCGGGGCAGACAGGGCAGAGTCGGCCATCGGTGCGGTAGTCAAGTAATGTGGACATGTACATTTTTGTTACAATTTTAGCACAGAGCCGGATTGGCGTAGGCTCGAAGCAGCGCTTGAAGCAGGCGTGTCTGGCGTTGTCCCGATTTGAGGTTGGTGGTTTGTCCATGACCAGTTGGTAGTAGTATTGACGCCGGGTCCTTGCCGCAATCTTCTTGTTGGGCCAGCGTTTCGTTGAGTTCTTCCTAATGTCGTCACAGCGTCGGAGAATGACTACATGGTCGGTTCAGGTGGACATAGATACTGTACAGAAAGCGCAGTGATGGTTTGTCGTGGGCCCAGGCGGGTTGCGTCAGAGGGGTAAGTGGGTTTGTGCTGGCCATTGAGTCGAGTTGTAGTCCCAGGCAACCTCCGAGGTAGTCTACACCACGAATGGTCGCGTGGGGAGCAGGCCACAAAAGTGAAGTAAGTTTGTTTGATGTTTGGAAAACCTAGGGTATTTACTATTTAGTGCCCTTGACTATTTAGTGTCCGTGATGATGGCTCCTGCTTGGATGAGTGCTGAGTTATAGCGCTCAAACAGGGGTTCCAGCGCATCCTTCCATACAGGCGGAGCCCAGGCGATATTGTTCAGGCCGTATGTAGCCGTGGATAGAGATTTTATTTTTTATTTCAAAAAAGAGATAAGTTACATTGTATGGACATATGGTGTGGCTCGTATAGCCGTTGTATTAGTTCGGGAAAGATCGATGGGAAGCGTGGACAGGATGAATGTTTTGGACAGCGCCAGCCGGTTGGGGTTTAGACACTGGGGTGTTGCCAGCTGCAGCCATAGAAGCCATAAGCGCGGAAGGAGGCGATACCCAGGGACAATGCTGCAACCTGGGATTCCATATGTCTGGCGTGGTTGATCCCTAGTGTTTTGTTGGAGAATGGGAACCCCAGGTATTTGGAGAGTTTAGGCTTGACATGTGTGGGTGCCATCTTCAGAGGAAGATATCATGTGTTCCAAGAGGCATCTGCAAGCGTCGGTGTGATAAGCTCAACATTTATACAGAGCGTTGGCGTCGCATGTCGCAAATCGGTAGATCGTACTCGGAGGGAGAATGGGAACCCCAGGTATTTGGAGAGTTTAGGCTTGACATGTGTGGGTGCCATCTTCAGAGGAAGATATTATGTGTTCCAATAGGCATCTGCAAGCGTCGGTGTGATAAGCTCAACATTTATACAGAGCGTTGGCGTCGCATGTCGCAAATCGGTAGATCGTACTCAGAGTTTGATGACACCCTGTTCGAGGCCAGATTTGCGTCCCCAAGCATCAATGTCGTCTAAAAAGGGCTGAAATGGAACCGGTGAAGGGGCTTGGGCTCGTGTGTCGTCGACAAATAAACAAGAGCGGAGAAGCTTGGGCCGGAATTGTGCTAGCGTGACAACCAAGGAATCCATGTAGATAAAAAAGAGCTGGGGGTCAACGATTGAGCCTTGTAGGATGCCATTCGTTCTATGGAATATGGGCGACAGCGTGCAGCGGTATGTTACTCAGGTAGGGGTCCTTTCAAATAGCGCGCGGAGGCAGTTGATCCAGTTCTCCGGTATTTCAGCGTGGCGCAAAATTACCCACAGGCGCGGGAGAGTAACCTTATCGTATGCCTTGATAAATTCCAGACAGATGTCGTTCCACTCATCTTCCGACTGAGACTCAGATTCCATGGCGGCGAGTGCTTGGGTATGGCAGGTGTATTCTGATTTGGAGTCAGCTTAGGAAGTCGGCGGGGGAGGTGATATCTGCATCGGCCTTTTTCGGGTGAGCTGTCAGGAGGATGCAGTTCAGGGCTGCAGGGTAGGTACCCGCCTTCAGTAGCTCAGTGAATGCTTCGGCAAGGAGTTTAATTAGTGGGTTATTTGGCGTCAGGACGTCCTAGTGTCCTGCGTTCGGTGAAGCGCTCCACTGCGGCCTTCAGGAGGAGGATGCGAATCCCGTCAGGACCGGGCCATTTATTGGGCTAGCGTAGTATAGCCGCCATGATATCGTCGGGGTGTATGGCGGGAATTGCATCTGGCGTACAGAGGGTTCGGTATCCAGTAAAACCATTTACGGGCTTGTGGAGTTGAATAGGTCCTCAAAATAGCCAGTGAGGGTGGCGGCTGTGTCATCGGCACCCGGTATGCAGGGTTGGCGCGGAGATCGTCGTCGGTACGTAATATCTTTGAAAATTTGAGTATTGCTTTGGGTGTGCGGTCAAACGTGAGCGGGACGAGTGGTTTGGTAGCCGTTGTCTGTTTATGTCGTAGTAAAATCCCCCGAAGATTTGTGGG